GACCGTCACCGGCAGCAGCGCCATCGCCATCGGCATCGTCTTCCCCCCGGCGCCTCGATGATCGACCGCAGCCCTTGGCCCTCGGGAGTCGACAGCGCCTCCTCGGCCGCCCTAACGATGCTCGCGGGGAGGCCGCCGCCGGGGACCAGGTACCTGCGCGGCGTCAGCTCATCCTCGCTCCTCCTTGTGGCGCCCTCCTCATGCTGCTTCTCATGCTCCTCATCCTACTCCTCCTCTTTGCTCCTCCTTATCCTCCTCCTCCCCCTCATCCTCCTAAAGCTCCTCCCCCTCCTCCTCCCTCCAGCTCCGTCCCCCATCTTGATATCGACCCTCATTGATATCCTCCTCATCCTCCTCATTCTCATCATGTTCTTGACCATCATCACCATCATCATCAGCAGCATCAGCATCAGCATCAGAAGCAGAATCATGATCATCATCATGATAACATTCATTATTACTACCATTATCATTATAGGCAGCAGCCATCGGCATCATTGCATTTGTCATCAGCAACAGCAGCATCGTAATCATCTTCATTATCAGCAGAAGTATCGTCAGCAACACCACCACCACCATCACCCGCCTCAGCATGATCATCATCAGCAGCAACCCCATCATCATTACTAGCATCAAACCAGCGTCTTCATCATCATCATCATCATCATCATCATCATCATCATCATCATCATCATCATCACCATAATCAGCATCATCATCAGCAACAGCATCATCATCAGCCTCATCGACATTGTCCGCACCACCATCAACAGCATCACCATCATCATCGCCAGCACCATACTCATCATCACTATCGTCATCAGCATCAGCAGCATCATTATCGTCGCCATCACCATCATCGGGATCATCATCAGCATCATCAGCATCATCAGCATTGTCATCATAATCAATAGCAGCAGCATCATCACCATCATCACGATCGTCATCGTCTTCATCATCATCACCATCATCATCAGCAGCATCATCATCAGCAGCATCATCATCGGCACCAGCATCACTATCATCAACACCATCATCATCATCATCATCATCATCATCATCATCATCAGCAGCATCAGCAGCAGCAGCAGCAGCGGCGTCACTATCATCATCATCATCATCATCAGCAGCAGCATCATCAGCAGCATAATCGTCATCGTAACCACCATCATCATCACCAGCATCAGCATCATCCTCATCAGCAGCATCATCATTATCATCAACAGCATCATCATCACTATCGTCATCGTCATCATCATAATGATCGCTTCTCCTCCTCCTTCTCCTCGCTCTTCCTGCAGAAGCCGACCAAATGGGGTCCGAGCAGACGGAGTCGGAAGGTCGCGCCGTACCGCCGATGCATCGGCGATGCATCGCATCGCCGATGCATCGGCAACGTGGCACGAAGCACCATCACATCTAATTACGTCGACCCCATCTGAGCGGCCCCGATCCTCGCTCCTGCTCACCTGTGAGAAAACACGAGTCATGGTTTGTGGAGGCTCAGGATCGCGGGACGAGGTAGGCGGACGCGTTCGTCGGTCAACATCGATATGTCAGCCTCGGGGTGCGTTCCAGCAGATGCACCTCGCCGAAAGCACCTTTGGGATCGAGACACGAGTTGTGGCCCGAAAGTCAGACCCCTCCCTCGCGTCAGGGGAAGAAACACAAGGGGAAAGTTGTTGGCTGTTTTCGGCTTCGCGAGGCCCTTTCCGGGCCGGGCCCCAGGAGCGTCAGACCGCTACTCGAGATGAAACAACTGTATCAGGGAAGGATGCAGTTCTGGCTCCCCCCTGCTACAGGAGATAAAGGACGACGTGGAGGATATGAGGGAGGAAAGCAATCAGGTAACGGAGGGGTAGAATGATGAGGAGGAGGAGGAGGAGGAGGTGGAGGTGGAGGTAGTCGAGGAGCAGGAGGAGGGAGGAGGGAGAAGACTACGACGGGGAGCGTGGAGCGAGCAGATGGCTGCCGTCGGTGCCGTCACCTTCCCGGCTGCAGCCAGCAGCATAAAATCATATGGCCGCCACCGACACAGCTGCGCTGTCCAGTGACGCTCCCCCCGGGCTGCGGCCAAAGGCGAGGCGGAGGCGGCAGCGACGAGGACGGTGCCGCCGCCTCCGACGCCAGCGACGGCGGCGGCGACGAGGCTGGCGGCAGCGGCAGCATCGACGGCGACGGCGACGACGGCGACGGCGACGCCAACGACGACGACGACGAAGACGACGACGACGACGACGGCGACGGCGACGGCGACGGCGACGACGACGACGACGACGGCGGGCCACGACGACTGCGTCGGCGACGGTCACTGGGGGGACAAAACAGGTGACAATAGCGCCACTCCTTGGACCTCTCCCTGGGTGCGCTCTGGCCCGGAACTCGAAGCAAGCCCGGCCGTGGCGACGAGGGCCTCCCGGGAGGCTCCCAGAAGAGGCCCCCGCGAGGCCAGGGCAGCGGCATCGGCACCCCTTCCGTCCCCGAGGTCGCGCGGGCTCGTTGCTCTGGCACTGGTGGCATCAGGGGGCAGGTCCACCTAGCTCTCGGCCTGCCCGACGGCTACGCGCTCCCTGAGGACTCTGAAACAGGCGCCGCGCGCCCGCCCAAGACGGCGGAGGCGCGCGATCTCGGGGGGGAGGGGGGAGGGGGGGCGGACCGAGGAGGAGGCAGAACGAGGAAGGGCGAGGGAGACGAGGAGGAGCAGCTCAGCAGGGAGGGGCAGGAGGAGCAGAGGAGGAGAAGGAGGAAGACGAGGAGGAGGAGAGCCGAAGAGCAGCAGCAGGGAGGAAGGAGGCGGAGGAAGATGAGGGAGGAGGGAGCAGAGCAGGGGCAGAGAGGAAAAACAGATGATGATGATGAGGAGGAGGAGGAGGATGAGGATAATGAAGGAGGAAAAAGAAAAAGCGGGGAGGGAGGAGCGACACTGACATGTTGGCGAGCGTGGACCCCAACCAGTAGGCTATTGAAACGTAGATGTGCAAGTCACCAGCGGCAGCGAAACGGCAAGTGGCGGCAACATGGCGAAACCTCGAAGGACCCACCCAGCGCACGAGGCGGCAACGAGGCGACAACGGGCGCACAACGCGGCGAAACCTTTGAAGGACCCACCCAGCGCACGAGGCGGCAGCGAGGCGGCAGCGAGGCGCACAACGTGGCGAAACCTCGCCAGAGCTACCCAGCGCGCGAGGCGGCGACGAGGCGGCACCGAGGCGGCAACGTGGCGAAGCCTCGCCAGAGCTACCCAGCGCGCGAGGCGGCGACGAGGCGGCAACGGGCGGCAACGTGGCGAAACCTTGCCAGACCCATCTAATTCCTCAGAAACGCAAGTAAGAAACCCTGAGTGCACGCACTGCTTGGGGAAATTAACTTTCAGAGATCCGCGCGGACTTCTTGGATCGGCGCTGGACACCCTTGGCGGCACCTCTGGCGCCTCCTCTGGCGCGCTTCGCGCGCCAGAACGGGGGCCCAGCGCCGATCCAAGAAATCCGAACGGACATCCTGAAGTTTATGCAGATGCAGCCCTCCATCACCCTCTCTTCGGAGGCAACTCCTGGGAGGTCTTCGCGGGAACGACTCATAAGAGGTCACGAAGCTGGACAAAGCCAAAGCAAACACAAGATTCAGCAAGATGAAACGGAATCCGAGCCAAACTGAGCAGGATTTGGCCAGATTAGGACGAGCATCGACGACGGACGTACGATCGCCGATGCGGAATTGACCCTCCCAGGAGTTGCAACCGAGCCTCCCAGACACCCAGAGCTCTAGAGAAACTTCCTGGAGCCATCCTCCTCCCCCCCCCCTTACCCTCACCCCTGAAAGGGAACGTTAGGGGAGACCAGCTCAGAGGGGAAACATCGAGCTGGAATCGGGAATAACATCGCCGATAGATGAGCGATAGGCCCCCGACTGGGAATCCGCATGGTCCCGGGCGGGGTGGGGCTGTCGGTCCCCTATCGGCGATCAATGGGCGACTGGGGATCGATGCATCCCTCCCTGAGCCCATCCCCCCAACGTTGCCCCCCTCACCCCAGAGAACCGGTTCAGAACTGATGGCCCCTGGACCATGCCTGTGCATCAGCCTGGCTCGCCTACTGAGCAGCGCCCAGCTGCAGGAGAAGAGGCGGAACGAATGCTCAAGGAAGGAGGAGAAAGAGGAGGAGGAGGAGGAGGAGGAGGAGGAGGAGGAGAAGGAGGAGGAGGGAAGGAGGAAGACCAGAGTAAAGTCAAGACGCATCAACGACGCTGCAACACACCCTCCTGTCCCAAGCCCCTGTTTCCTACGTCCCTACAAGCTTTCCTCCCCCCTTCGCAAAGATCGAAAGACAGACACCCTATGGGCCCGCCATTCGGGCGAGAGCCCTGCTTTCAAAAGAAAAGAAAGAATTGCCGAGTGCACCCTTCCAAAAAAGTAAGACGGACCGCGCGCAGGAATGATCACACAGTCCAATGAGGTAGCCACTGACATCTCCGTATTGTTTATGATCCTCTCTAGCTGCGTAGCTCTTGCACACGCTTTCACTTCTAGCCGCCCTCTGCCCAGGAAGCTACAGTACGTGCTTAAAACACATGTGCACAGCACAAAAGCGATAACCCAACTTTGAAAAGGAGCCGCCCTCCATCCGTATAGCTGTTGCAAACTTGTCAAACGAATCCCCTCGGCACTATAGCGAGAGACAAATTTCGAAAACGACATTCCCCTCCATGGTTGAAACTGTTGAAACCTTTTTAAACACGAATATGCGCGGCGCTAAACGCAAGAGCTACGTGTTGACCCCCCCTCCATCCTTGAAGCTGCTTGAAAACCTGTATAACAAATGCGCGCGGCGCTAAATCGAGAACCACCTTTTGAAAGCCACCCCCCTCCAAACTTGAAGGTGTTGCAAATTTCACGCTCCAGGATCGTTAGTGAAACCGTTGCAAATTTCAGCTGAGAGGTGAGGAAGTCTCAGGCGAAACGCCCGGCCCACCCTACCCACACGACTGGGGGTGCGGCACGGAGAACTTACTCATAAGGAATAGGGGTGGAGTAGGAGAGGCAGAAGGAGGAGGAGGAGAAGGAGGAGGATCAGGAGTAGGAGAAGGAGAAGGAGGAGGATCCCCAAGCCCCACTCCGCTCCCCAGACATCCGACGTCTTCATGTCCGCACAACCGGGTCATAAAAAGGCCGACACCTGTCCACCCCGGGGCCGGCCTGTCACCCAGAATCACTTGTGGACGGCCCTGGGGGCCCCGTGAGGGCCACCCGAAGCCTGAAAATTACGGAAGACATCGGCCTTGAGTTGTCGGGGCGTTGGAAATCAGGATGGAGGGGGGGAAGGAGGAGGAGGAGGAGGAGGAGGAGGAGGAGAGAGAAGAGGAGGAGGAGGAGGAGGAGGAGGAAAAGGAGGAGGAGGAGAGAAGGAGGAGGAGAAAGGAGGAGGGAGGAGCAGAAGGAGGAGGAAGAGGAGAAGGAGGAGGAGGAGGAGGAGAGGAGGAGGAGGAAGGGGAGGAGGAGGGGGGAGGAGGGAGGAGGAGGAGGAGGAGGAGGAGGGAGGAGCAGGAGGAGGAGGAGGAGGAGCAGGAGGAGGATCCCTCTCGCCCTCCGTTCCTCCTCGGTGCCGGGTCGCCGCGCCGCTCCGGAGATGGGGGGCAGGCGCCGAATGCGCACCCCGTCGAGGCGCCGCCTCAGCCCAGCAGGTCCTCAAAGTCGTCCACGGCAGCCTTCTGGCGGATCGGGGCATGCTCCTCCTCCTCCTCCTCCCTCCTCCTCCTCTCTCCTCCTCCTCCTCCTCCTCCCTCCTCCCCCTCCTCCTGCTCCTCCTCCTCCTCCTCCTCCTCCTCCTCCTCCTCCTCCTCCTTCTCCTCTTCCTCCTCCTTCTCCTCCTCCCTCTCCTTCTCCTGGCTGATTTGACTCGGGCTCGGGCACGAGCGACCCTACGTACTCCAGCCGTCGGATTGACCAGGAGCAGACTGGTTAGAGGACGGAGGCACAAGCAAGCGCGGGGCGTCAGCGCTGCGATCACGGGTGGCCTGAAAGGGAACTTGAGATGCGCCAACGCCGACACCTCTGCCCGATCCCATGCGTCCCATCTTGCGGCGACCCCCCCTGTCCTCTGACAGGAGGAGTAGCAGAAGGAGGAAGAGGACTGAGATTCGAGGAGGAGGAAGAGGAGGAGAGCAGGAGAAGGAGGACCGAGATTCGAAGGCGTTCTGCGTGCTTCGCCTTTGGGGAGGGTGGCGCCGGGGAGCTTCTCGCCGCCACGGCTGGACCGCCTCTGAACTCTAGTCAAGACGCACCCTTGGAGAGGTCATGGGGCTGATCTTTGATGGGGAGCCAGAAGACAAGGGAGAAGGTAGTAGAACGTCAGGGACAGGAGGAGATAGGAAGGTAGGACGTGAGAAGTAAGAGGATTGACGTGGGAGGTAGGAAGACGAGGACGCCGACGGAGGTAGACGGGGGCGGACGAGGCCGACGCCTACATAGCACGCGAGTAGGAAGGAAAGGCGGAGGAGGAACATAAGGACGAGAGGGAGGAAATGAGGAGGAGGAGCTGGATGGGCAGGATGTGAAGGAACGACGTGGGAGAAGGGGAGGAAGAGCAGATAGGAGAGGGAGAGGAGGCAGAGGAGGCAGAACAGGAACAACAGGAAGAGGACCTCTGGTGCTGAGTTTGTCTGAGTCCTCCTGTTCAAAGTGACATGACACGGTAGAGAGCTGAATGTGGCTCCCATTATACTTCTCCACGCACTCGTACATGCAGCCGCGATCGTGTTCGCATTCATGCTCGTACGTCGGTCGCCTCTCCCGAACCCAAATACCGTTCTGAACACAGAACCGTGTGCGACTACCCGGAACCCAAATACCCATGCACGTCCCCAACATCCATACCAATACCCTTCTTCATATGCACTCCCCACCCCGCCACCTAGCCGGCAAAAAAAAGCCCAAATCCGGGGGGGAGTCCATCCAACCCATCAGAAAAGAATACAGCGACCACGTGCCTCCGTTGCGTCGTCGACGCTGCAGAGCACGTGGCGGGAGCGGGGGGGGCGCACTTCCCACGCGCAGGAACGAAGAGCCGCTCTCGCCTCTTCGCCTCGCTCCCTGCTGCTGAGCCTTGAGCTCCCACTTCGGCGCGGCGCACGCCGCTCGCGCGCCCATTCGTCTGCGGCGGGATCGCGCGCGCGCGAGCGAAATTGATCGCTCTCGCCCTGTCGCCGCGCCGAGTTCACCCGCAAGGGGCGCGCCTGTCTCGGCGCGGCGCGGCTGCTTCGCCCACCGAGCCTTTGGTGGGAGCGGCAACGTGCGAGCGGGCCGAATATTGGAGGCCTGGAAATGGGCACCAACACCAAGACAGGGGGTTGCCTCCACAGGGGAACGATGATCCTAGATTTCGGAGTTGGTGGTAATATTTCGGTCACCTTGGAAGCCAGAATATCACAACCATCACCGAGATAGGGATCTTCTTCCCTCGGCGGAGGCACACCGACGATCTTGGTGCTGGTGTCAACCTCTAGGCCTGCGAGAATGTCGCCCTCGCCCAGACGTCAGCAGACTTCTCGCAAAGTTCGGGCGGAACTGGCCTGCCCGCTTGGGCGCAGCACACACTTGTTCCGCCCACCGGGTCGTCGGAAGGCTGCATGCAAGCGGGCCCGCGCGCAGGCAGGCGAGGTGCCGTTTGTGCCACGGCGCCGCACGCCTTTCGCGCGGCAGCGGCACTCCTGCTGTGGCCCGACGCGTGCTTCACCTTTGCCACTCCCATGTCCCCGCGAGCGCGACAGCCCTCCCTTCTCCTCCTCCTCCTCCATCCTCCTCCTCCTCCTCCTCCTCCTCCTCCTCCTCCTCCTCCTCCTCCTCCTCCTCCTTCCTCAGTCGTCCATCCTCCCTCCTCCTTCCTCTTCCTATTCCTCCTCCTCCTCCTCCCCCTCCTCCTAGGGCTGAATGGCGCTCTCGCTGAAACGCCGCGTGTAAGGATTATCTGACCGATCTGCTGTCGCCTGCGCGCGGCTCGCAAGAATGTCCCGGGAGGCGGCACCGCGCGCAAACGCTGTCCTTTCGCTCGGTGGGAGCGCGCAGCCGTTCCACTATCCACTTGCGCAGCCATGTGCTCTTGTGCCACGGGAGCGAGGGCGGGAGTGAGCGGGGCCCGCTGACTCGCTCTCGGCCTGGCCAGGTTGATGCATTGCGCAGCTGCGCCTGGCCCTAAAGTACTCCTCCCGCGCCATCCCGGGCCAGCAGTGCGGCCAGCGCTGGGGCCCGAGCGCCGTCCCGCAGCGGGAGTGCAGCTGGCGCTGAGGCGGCACCGCTTCAGGCAGGGCGGGCCCGAAGGCCCGAGCAGCACCGAGCCTGGAGCGCGGCAGGCGCTGCCGCGAGGCCGCCGCTCCCGGCTCGGACTGCGCCCGGGCGACCACACGCTGGCCATCGCTCGGACGCCCACTCCCTGTGTGTGTTTTTGTTCGGTGTCGTGCGTGGTTTTTTTTTCTCGCCAAAGGATCAAGGCTGCTCCTCGATGGTCCTCGCCGAAGGAAAAAAATGCACACGTCCGAACGATGGCAAGCACTGCAGTGCCAGGCAGGGTTGGGACTGCCGCCGGCGGCGAGGCGGTGGCACTCTTCTGGTCGGCGGCGTCGGAACGAACCCGGTGCGCTCGGGGTACGCGTGGAGATGCCACGGCGAGCGCGCGTAGGCACCGATGGGAGGGGAGGCGGTGCGGAGGGGGTCGGGAAGAGGCCGCGGGCGCGGCGGGAGCACCCTCGGAGCGTGCAGATGTTCGCGCGTGTGCCTGCGTTTGGTGCCTACAGGACAGTTTGGTTTAAACATATCGGATTTTTCATACATGATTAATGCATGAAAGAATGTATGCATGAACTCATCGTTGTTTTTAACACTGAATCCCTGCATCTTTTTATACATGATGCGCACGCGGAGCATGTGTTAAAAACGGCACTGTGCTAGACCACCCCAACCCAACCCGAAGACCCAAGTTTGGGGTTTGGGGTGGGGGTACGGGTTCCACGTGTGTTGTTTGTCAATGTTCCCCGACGCCCCCCCCCAACCACTGGGAATGGAGGACAAATTGGTGCTTTCGGGTTGGGTTGGGTTGGGTTGGAGTGGGTTGGGGTTCGGAGACGAGCTGCCCACACGTGCTACAGCTCCTGGATAGCAAGCCATCGTACGAGGCGGTGGCACAGGCACGAGCTGGAAGAGCGGCTGGCGCAGAGGCAGATGTCATCGCTCCGAGCTGGGAGCGCGGCCACCGCTGCGGCGAGACTGCCATCCCGATCCAGGCATGCGGCCAGCGCTTCAGCGAGAGCACCGACCCGGGAATCCCCCAAGCAGCACGATCGAATGGGCACGGAGAGAGTGAGGACGAAGGTCGGCAGCAAACCCATTTAGAACCGGACTCGATGTCGGTGTCGCTGCGGACATTGTCCACTTAAGACAAGCAGTTGCCGGGCCAACAGCGGCCGCTGTCGGTGTTGGACAACAGTCGCTATTAGGCATCGTACCGATTGGTTCCGTACCCATTCCGAACGTCCAAACCCCCGCCGTGGCTGGCGCCGTGCGAGAGCACACGCCCAGGCTGAGACGGTGGCCCAACGCCGAGGCGGAGACCACAGCCTGGAGCCTTGAACCTGCGATTGCAGCCTGTGCTAAAGCTCGGGGCTGGGATGCGCGCGGCCCAGACCACGGATGGACCGCCGATCCGCGCTGGGAGGTGGCAAACAGCAGCACCCTCGCACGAGAACGAGCTCTGGCGCGCATCCCCCCCGAGCGAGCCGCGACAGGTGGCGGAGGGGGAGTTGACCCAACCCCCACCCCGAGTGGGCACGGAGGCGGCCTGAAGCCGATTCCACCGCTCGACAGACGTCTCCCAGGCCCGTCTTGGCCAGGATCTCGAGGCGAATCCAGCCGTGGCGACGAGGGTACCCCGCCTGCAGAGACACAGCGAGGAGGAAAAGGGGAAGGGTATCGGCATCGATACGTGTTCCTGGCCTCTGGAGTACGGAAGCAACGCTTCTGAAATCCGACGAACGGCCAACAGCGACACTGGTTCAAGGGATGCTCCCAGCCGCCCACGCCTTGCTCGGGGCGGCCTCTGCCGTTGCAGCCGGCGGCTTCGAGGCCTCCTCTGCCTCCGCCGCCGCCTTCGCCTCTGCCTCCGCCTTCGCCTTGGCCTCCGCCGCCACCTTGGCGGCCTCCTCGGCTTCCGCCCTGGCCTTCGCCTCTGCCTCTGCCTTGGCCTTGGCCTCCGCCTCCGCCGCCTTCGCCTCTGCATCTGCCTTGGCTTTGGCCTCCGCCTCCGCCTTGGCGGCCTCCTCTGCTTCCGCCTTCGCCTTCGCCTCCGCCTCGGCCTTGGCTTTGGCCTCTGCCTCTGCCTTGGCTTTGGCCTCCGCCTCCGCCGCCTCCGCCGCCTTCGCCTCTGCATCTGCCTTGGCTTTGGCCTCCGCCTCCGCCTTGGCGGCCTCCTCTCTTTCCGCCTTCGCCTTCGCCTCTGCCTCTGCCTCCGCCTTCGCCTCCGCCTCCGCCCTGGCTTTGGCCTCCGCCGCCTTAGCCTCCGCCTCCGCCTTGGCTTTGGCCTCCGCCGCCGCCGCCGCCTCCGCCTCAGCCGCCGCCTTGGCTTTGGCCTCCGCCGCTACCTTGGCGGCCTCCTCGGCCGCCTTCGCCTCCGCCTCCGCCTCTGCCTTTGCTTTGGCCTCCGCCTCCGCCGCCGCCTTCGCTTCCGCCTCTGCCTTGGCTTTGGTCTCCGCCGCCACCTTGGCGGCCTCCTCGGCTTCCGCCCTGGCCTTCGCCTCTGCCTCTGCCTTGGCCTTGGCCTCAACCTCCGCCTTCGCGTCTGCATCTGCCTTGGCTTTGGCATCCGCCTCCGCCTTGGCGGCCTCCTCTGCTTCCGCCTTCGCCTTCGCCTCCGCCTCGGCCTTGGCTTTGGCCTCTGCCTCCGCCTTCGCCTCCGCCTCCGCCCTGGTTTTGGCCTCCGCCTCCGCCTTGTCGGCCTGCTCTACGTCCGCCTTCTCGGAGCAGGGCAAGCTAAGAGGCCACGGCAGCTCCAAAAAAACGGTCCCCGGACTCTGGGGGTCTGCACGCGACAGGCTCCCGAGCTGCGCCCAGCCCTGGCGACGAGGGGGGCCCACCAAAGGCAAACTACGGGGAAACCAAAAAGTATCGGGGATCTTCTGACCCGGGTCAATCCAAGCCCGGGTCAGTCAGGCCTGGCAGAATCCTGCAAGATCCTGCAAAATCCTACACCCGAACCCGGGTCAGTGCGGAGGAGCCTGCAAGATCCTGCAGGATCCTGCACCCAAACCCGGGTCAGTGCGACCCTGGCCCTGCAAGATCATGCAAGATCGGGCGCTCTGGCTGACCCCCGTTTGCATTGACCCCCGTCTCAAGGCTCCCGAAGGTACCGATACCGCGACTCCCCGGACATCTTCTGGGGTGCGTTCTGACGAGGATTTCGGGTCGAATCCAGCGGTGGCGACGAGGGCCTCCCAGGGGGCCCAAAAAGAGAAAATCGAGAGAAGGGTAGCAGTATGAGCACCTTTTCTTCCTCCGAGACTTCGAGCTGGGGATCGACTACAAAATTGACGTTTCCCAACAGTGGCTTCCTCGTCGAATCTGCAGGCAACATGCGTAGCATGCGTGCGGCAGGTTCGTGTCGTGCCGACCCCAGCGTTGGTTTTTGACACCGCAGGGATCGTTCAACCTTGAACGATCGGCCGCTGCCGCAACGTCCGATCGTTCAACATCGATCGATTCTGGGTCGCCGACGGCGTTCAACCTTGAACGCCCGCGCTGGGGTCGCCGCTGGTCGACACGACGCAAACCTACCGTATACGCCTTTGTCGCTGGCTCGGCGAACAGCCAACATTTCGCAGCTCCAAGACCGCTCGCGGCTCAGCTCGCCCTCCTCTGACCTTCGCCTCCGCCGCGGCTGCGGCACCGCCGGCCGCCGCCCCCACGACGCCCTCGTCCGTCCACACCGCCGCGGCCTGCCCCGGCGCCGCCCGCCGCGAGCCGGCCTCGGCGGCCGGGTAGCCGCCCGCGGGCGCTCCCATGGGCGCTGCGGCCGCTGGGGCAGGCTCGGGGGCCTCGGCGGGAGAGCCCAGGATCGAAGCGAGGAGTCGGACCGGCACTCGAAGTGCAGCGGATCGGCGGGAAAAGCGGCGGCCGGGTCGGGAGAAGTCGCGTCGGCAGAAAGATCGGCAGGCCGGGAGGCCTCCCTGGAAGAATCGGAACCCGAATCGGCATTCCAGGTCGAACCGAATCGGAATCGGAAGCCATCGAAATCGAATCGGATCGGAGAAATCGAAACGAGCCCTACCCTGGTCGGGGGGGAGTGGCGAAAGGGTAGGATAGCAAGGCTTAGGTTCGAAGGCAACTACTGGGAGGTCTTCGTCCAAAAGGAATCAGGAGGATTGGGACCCATTGGGGGAGCTGCTACGCCGTATCAGGCTGGGGATTACGCGGGGTTAAGCCAGATTGAGCGGGATTAAGCCAGATTAAAAAGGATTGAGCCGGATTAAGCCAGGTTGGGGACCAGGGCAACGTCAGAATTTGACCTCCCAAGAGTTGCATCCGAAGGTAGGGTAGATAATCAGCTCACGTAGCTGGCTGTCCTGGCGCCTCCTGGCACCGGGAGGCGCCCACGTATTGAGGAATGGGCCCAGCGGCGGGGCCGAAGCCAGCTGCACGCAGCAGATGTCGCAATCCCCCAGGATCGAGACATCGGATCGAGTCGACATCTGCTTCGGATGGGGCTGCATCGGCACGGAGTCGGAACCGAATCGGATCGGCCGCTTCAGGATGCACAACAGCGCCATGCAAGCATCGGGCCGTAGCGGATCGTCGTAGCATTGGAATCAAGCCCGATCGTGCCAGCCAAAACCACATCGAATCGGATCGATCGCATCGAGATGCGCCCTAGAATTCGAGGAGGAAGATAAGTTGGCGGGCGAAAATTACATCAATAAACTGGCCCACCGTCGGGGGAAGAGCTTCTGCTGTCCCCTTCTTCGCCCAAAAATGAAAAGATGAAGGAGGATCATGGGAAAGGAAGCCTTGACCAAGCCAAGAAGGAGTGGGCGATCCGGGCTGGGGCTTGGATGACGAACGAGCAACACACACACACACCCATACCCATAAGGGGGGTCGTTGGGAGGAGGACTGGCTATGGGTATGGGTGCGGGTTGTCGGACCCTGGGGAACGCTCCCGTTCGAGCGGGGACCTCCATCCGACAACACGCACCCATAGCCCTCTCCGACCCCTCTATGGGTATGGGTGTGTGTTGTTGGCTGGTCGTTGGAGTGCCCTTCCGAAGCGAAGTCCCCTACCTGGGCATCCCCTTCACGCCCGGCTTGGCCAGGACCTCCATCCCCGTGCGAGGAAGAAGAGGAGCAGGAGGAGGAGGAGGAGGAGGGAAACGGAGAGGAGGAGGAGAAGGAGAAGGAGGAGGAGGAGGAGGAGGAGGAGGAGGAAGAGGAGGAGGAGGAGGAGCAGGAGCAGGAGCAGCAGGAGGAGCAGGAGGAGGAGCAGGAGCAGGAGGAGCAGGAGCAGGAGAGAGGATCGGCGGCGCGCCTCTCGGGGGCCCTCGTTGGGAGCCTCCCTCGGGGGCCCTCCGGGGACCTTCCCCGGAGGGGATCGGTCCAAGAGGGGGGGGGGGGGGCAGCAGATGGCAGACCCCCCGCCCAGAACCCAAAACGAGCCCAGGACCCGTGCAAAATCAGTACGTATGGCTGCCGCCCTCTCGCCGAGGCCGCCTTGGACGCTCCCATCGGTCGCGGCGCGCCGTCCAGGTCCGGGGGAGGGCGAGTTGAGACAACGGCAGCTTCATTAAGGATTGAAGGGGCCCTGGGACACACAAATAAATAGACACAAACAACAGGATCCCTCATATTTTCCTATATTTTCTGAATTTCTGTCTTCCCCCCCACTGCCCATATTTTCCCATATTTTCCTGGGAGTGGACGATTAATTGTGTCTGTTTGTTTCTTTCCTTCCTGAAGGATGGCCCCATGGACCCCCCCTGGAGTCCCAGCGCACCAGGTTCACGAGCTGCGTCCAGCCGCGGCGACGAGTCCCCCCCCCCCCGAAGACCAGCGACCGCCGCCTCAAGTCGCCCCCCCTCCGAGCGGAGGGGCAGAGGAGAGAGGGCAGAGGAGAGAGGGCAGAGGAGAGAGGGCAGAGGAGAGAGGGCAGAGGAGAGAGGGGGAGGAGGGGGAGGGGGAGGAGGGCAAGCTAGGTGCGCGCGCGTCATATCTGACGTCCTACCCCTCCCTCCCATCCCTTACCATGGCGCTGATTTTCTCTATCCGCGGACTAGTGGGTGGTGGTGCGCGTGCGTGCGTGCGTGCGTGTGTGCGTGGTTGTGGTGGTGGTGGTGGTAATGGTGGTGGTGGTAATGGTGGTGGTGGTGGTGGTGGTGGTGGTGGTGGTGGTGGTGGTGGTGGTGGTGGTGGTGGTGGTGGTGGTGGTGCTGGTGGTTGTGTTGGTGGTGGTGGTGGTGCTGGTGGTGCTGGTGGTGCTGGTGGTGCTGGTGGTGGTGGTAGTGGTGGTGGTGGTGGTTGTGGTGGTGGTGGTGGTGGTGATGGTGGTGGTGGTGGTGGTGGTGGTGGTGGTGGTGGTGGTGGTGGTGGTGGTGGTGTGCGTGTGTGCGCGTGTGCTGTGGCATGGCACGGGAAAAGACGCCAGCGCTGCAGCGGGAGCACGAGTCGAAACGGGCGGAAGCGCGGAAATGAGGCCGGCGCTGCAGCGGGAGCACGATTCGGAACGAGCGGAAGCACGGAAATGAGGCCAGCGCTGCAGCGGGAGCACGATTCGGAACGAGCGGGGCCCGAAAATGAGGCCGGCGCCTCAGCGAGAGCAGCATTTTGAAAAAAAACACAAGCGAAAACCCGTTTCCCGGGAATCCTGTGTGTAAAAAAACAATACGCGGGGGGGTGTCGGATATCTTCGGGACGCCATCAGGGGAAGTGGGAGAGTATTTTCATATTGTGTAATTGTGGAGGAGGAGGAGGAGGAGGAGGAGGAGGAGGGGAGGAGGAGGAGGAGGAGGAGGGAGAGGAGGAAAAGCAGAAGGAGGAGGAGGAAGCAGGAGGAGGAGGAGGAGGCGGGGCCATCGCCCCCTCCCGCGGCGGCGCCGCGGCCGCCGACCGCGAGGCGGGCGCGTCCTCCTCGTCGCTGGAGTCCCTCGTGGAGCCCATCGACTGGAACCATATCGCGGTCCTGGCCGCGTGGGGGGAAGCAGGGGGCAAACCATCCTGGGGGGAAAAGAGGAGGAGACTCTGGAGACTCTGCCTGATCGCGGGGGAAAAGAGGAGGAGGAGGAGGAGGAGGAGGAGAAGGAGGAAGAGGCGGAGGAAGAGGAGGCCAACCATCCTGGGGGAAAAAAGGAGGAGGAGGAGGAGGAGGAGGAGGAGGAGGAGGGGAAACAGTATATCCCCCAAACGCATCAACGATGTGGCAATACACCCTCCCTCCAGGTTCCTTCCCCATAGGTCCCTACACGAATTCCCACCCGTCCCTCCGCATGGGGCAGGCTCGGGGGCCTTGGCAGGAGAACCCAGAATCGAACCGATAAGTCGGATCGGCAATCGACATGAATCGGATCGGCGGACATCGGCAGCCGGGTCGGGAGAGGTCGAGTCGGCGAACATCGGCAGGTCGGTAGGCCTCCGTTGAGAGATCGGAGCCCAGACTCGGAGTCCGAAGCCGAATCGAATCGGAGTCGGAAGCCCTCGAAATCTGAGCGGATCGAGTCGGAGGAATCGAAAGGAGCCCTGGAGGAGGCCCCACCCAGCCGTGCCTGGCGGCTCGAGGAGGGGGCCCCGAGGAATGGGGCCCGGCGGCCGCCCTCCGCCCAGGTGCGCTGCCGCAGGCCTCCGCCGGCGGAGCCGCAGCCGCCGTGCCGCTGTACTTCCGCTGTCGGCCGCCGGCCTCCCGTCGGGGGTCCGCCGAGGGCGAACGTGTGGTTGTGTCTGGCCATGTGAACCCATTCTCGCATGATTCGCGATAGTGCCCGCTACTTGCCCCGTCCCCCCCAAGTAACGTCATATATGTATATAAATGCATATAAATATACGTGTATACACATATATATATATATATATATATATATATATCACGCCTGCGCCTTATGGGAACTAGCCATTACTAACTATTCCCCACGTGGGCATCGAATGCCAGTTGCCCGCAAGATTGATCACCCTAAGATCAGAAGCACCCAAACTATCAGCATTGCCCGGACATCTCGATCATGGTTCAAACGGATGGTTTGAACCTGCTATTGCTGTGCTTGCTGAGATGCTAAGTTCGCTTTCGTTGGCGCGGGGTCAGCAGGGCCTTCTGCGAAGGCGGCATGATACCAACTGCCACATGTATACGTACACGCGTGCATGTCCTCCTGAATGCACAGCTGCATAATGCTCGCACGTCGATGCGTCTCATGCGCTCATAGGACTGGCGAAGCCAAAATCTTTACCACTTTCAGAAAGGTGGCTGCAATAGGGCTCCGTGGCGCGCGTTGCCGTTATGTGTGTTCTTGCTGCTGCTGTCATCGTCGTCGTTGCGCCACGTGGTCCGTCCGTGACCCGCGCAGGACCTGCCACGCGGACTGTCCGCGACAGGGCGAGGGGCATCTTGGCTAAGGCTAAGATCCGGAAGTGAGCTGTTGACCCCACGTATGGTTCATTCTAAATAACTTTTCCATGGAGCTCTCGTGCAAACCTTCGTGTCCACCTCTATTTAATCATTATCCCTTCCCCCTCCTCGTACACATCTTCGAATTTGACAAACGGCCCTGCCCGCGCATCAACCGCGACCCTCCCATGGCCCGCCCGCGACCCACCCGCGGCCTGCTGCGCGTGGCTGGGCTTGTGTTATCTAAAAAGATGACCACTGGGTCATCTTTAGAGACGACGTTGTCGAATTCGATACTCACGACACGAAGGAGATACACAAACACAACCTGAGAACAAAAATGCGACGGGGCCGGGAGTGCTGATGCGGCGCCGTTAAATCAGACGAACACCCGATTAGGGCGATCATGCCCGTCGTCAGCTGCTGACTTGTTTTCGGGTCGTATCTATGAGGCCGCCTCGATTGACGCCCCTTGCCAAACCAGACCATGCGAGCGGCAAACAACATGAGGAAATAAGTATGTGAAATTGAAGCGGATTTTTGTGGCCAAACATGTCATCATCATGTTCGATGGGGCTCTGAGTGGGAAGGTCCCCCAAGGGCCCTAGGAAGGCCCTAGGAAGGCCCAAGGAGGCCCCAGGTGGGCCCAAGAGGGGCTGCCGCGGTGTGCAACGGCTGCTGCACCACTCTGGGTTGGGTGCGGCGGCCCCAAAGAATGGCTCCAAGGGGGCCCTTGGAGGAGCCCAGTGCGAGCCCCAAGAGAAGCCCAAGGGGGCCCGAGGGGGGACTGCCAGAATGTGCAGCCGCTGTTGCACATCTCTGGGTTAGGCGCGAAGGCCCCCAGAATGGCCCCAGGAGGGCACCGGGAAGGCCCAGGCAGGGCGGCGAGATCTATGCATGTCTACTGCCCCCCCGGCCAGGCCCAGCCTGAACCCAGCAGCGGTCTGTACGCTTTCCTGGCTTGGCCAAGAGGGCGTGTGCATTGCTCGTGGGTTCAGGATGGGCCTGGCCAGGGAGCAGTGGATATGTCTAGATTTCGTCGCCCGACCAAGGGGGCCCCGAAAGGGGCCCGCTGGGAACCCTTGGAGAGGGGCCGCCAGAATGTGCAACGGCCGTTGCACATCTCTGGACCGACTGGTAGGGCCCCCCAAAAAGGTCCCCGGAGGGCCCCATGGCCGATGGGAACCCCAACGGGGCTCCACAAGGAGCCGCCGGGATGCACAGCAGCCGTGGACGCGGGCAGCGCACAACATGCACGCATGGATATGACGCCCCGCCGGCAAGATTGCACCAACAGGGTCTCGCCCGTGAGGGCCCGATCGGAAGCCCCAGGGCATCCCTGAAGAGAAGGGGGAGTAAGCGGAGGGAGAGGAAAAGGAGGGAGTGCGAGGCGCGATGCGGGGAGAGAGTTAACGGAGGATGGAAGACTAAAGAGGGATACGATGGAGAGGGGACATGGGAGGAAAACGGAGGGCTGAAAGGGCAGGATGGACGAACTCCTAGGTCAGGGGAGGGATCAGAGGCGACGCAGGAGGAGGTTGGAGGACGGGTCGGATTCTGACGGGACTGGCGCGAGCGGTCTGATAGGATCTGGCGAAACGGGCACCAGCCACTCCCGTGAAGAAAACCCTGCTTGGCTTATTTTTTCTCACGGCTCTAGGATCAATCATCTACGACCCTCCGGCTCCAGCGGAAGTGAAGCATGACTCGCCACTTCATGGTTGCCGTGTGCGGCAAATCGATCGCCTCTGCACCCCAACGAGCAGGAGTGAGACAATTTAGACAACTCCCCCACGTAGTTCTGAGTTTTAAAAGTCCACGCGCATTTCGGTTGCGAGAGCTGAAGCTCGGAACCGTGCGCTTGCGGTGTTCGAAAGCTATGTGCCACAGCAGAGTTCCTTTGAAGGGAAACTGGGACACACAAATAAATACACACAAATAAAAAGATTCCCCATATTTTCATGTATTCTCTGGGTTTTTGTCTTCCCCACCACTTCCCATATTTTCCCATATTTTCTGGGAAATCGACGATTAATTGTGTATGTGTGTTTTTTTTCCTCCTGTTCCTTGTGCAACGGCCCGCTGCTTCAACCAATCGCTGCGGCCCAATGCCGCCCGCACGAGGGCCGCGGCGCCCTCGGCACCCCCTCGGCAACGGAAACGTGGAGCATCTGTCCAACCATCGCACCGAACTTACAAAGTGCTTTCGGCAAGGCCGTCCTGCGTTGATCGGCCTCGCTGCCCGACCCAAGGGAGCCCCCAGAGGCACCGAAGGTGCCCCGAGAAACCCCTGTGACCGCAGAGAGGCACCCAAAAAGCCCCAAGGGGCCTCCGAGAAGCGCCCAAGAAGATACCCGACACTCCGAGAGGCATCGAAGGGGCCTCTGGCGCCCTCCGCTCGCCCTCCTCATCCTCCCCTTCCGCCTCCTCATCCGCCTGTTCGTCCTCCATATCCGCCCTCCCTCACATATCCTCCTCCTCCTCCTCCTCATCCTCCTCATCCTCCTCCTTTTCCTCCTCCTCCTCCTCCTCCTCCTTCTCATCATCATCATCATCATTATCATCATCATCATCATCATCATCATCATCATCATCATCATCATCATCATCATCATCATCATCATCATCATCATGATCATTGTCATCACCATCATCATCATCATCATCATCATCATCATCATCATCAGCATCATCAACAACATCAACATCAACATCATCATCATCATCATCATCATCATCATCATCATCATCATCATCATCATCATCATCATCATCATCATCATCATCATCATCATCATCATCATCATCATCATTCGAGCAATAACGGCTGCCCTCACCTTTGCTCCTACATGCCCCCGCTCACGTCGACTCGCCTGGGCACCGTGTCTGGATGGATGGGCTGGCGGGGATATGCGAAACGTCAGGAATTCGTGTACACTCAATTCCGCCGGCCACACAGAGGCCCTTCTGCGTATGCACGGCGGTTGCTCAAGCTGAACACTACAACATCGGCCCTCGCCCTGGATCCAACGATCCGGCTCTACTCCACACCTAACCTCACGCGGCCAAGTCTGGCCTGTTCCGAAACGAAACGCGCATTCAAGAAAGTACCTCGGGCGCGGCGCTTGACCAGGGATTTGCGCCCGACGCCCCCGACGCCTCGGATTACCCCCACGGAGAAGGACAAATCAGCTCCCAACAAACATCTTTACGCCGCGCGCGCATATTGCCCCGCAGAACCATGCGCCACACTGCATCAAACCATCATTACGCATGGACACGCCCACGCAAACATCGATACAACTTCAATCCTGCGACCTAGAATATACAAGGAACACTCACCGACTTACAGACTAATAGTTCCTCCTTGGTGTTGCTCCGGGGCAATGCAATATTTTCGCATGCGAGACCTTGGCTGTTCTAAAATATCAATATATCTCCGGGCTGAGATTGATCCGGGCGAGATCTTAGAAATAAGTGATGCTGCATGGTCAGGGCCAGACGGCGCCGGAGCGAATCGCGACGCTGCCTGCTCTCTCCCCTCGCCTCCCTCAATTATCGCCACGGGGTTAAAACATTGCTGGGCCTCTGCGAGGCTTCTTGTCGCTAACGCTGGGGCCAGCCTCGGACTTACAGGCATCCCTGGAGACGCGTCCTCGCCGCGTCGGGAGGGACGGGGGGAGGAAAAGGATGAGGACGGCAATCTGCTTCTCGCACTTTTAAACATTCTGAGGCCGGTGTCGGGCCCCAGAGCCGTCAGACATCGATCCGGGGGGGAAAGTTGGCCAGGATGGACCCCTTGAGGGATCTGGGGACTGATCGTCAGCGGGCTTGGGCCGGGCAGGGGGATGAGGAGAAGGATGGGCTCAGGCAGAGGAGTAAGACGAGGGGGAGATGTAGGAGGTAGGAGGTCTGAGGAGGACCAGGAGGGAAGCTGCGAAAGAGGGGCGCGGGAGAAGAGGAAGGGCAGGCGGAGGAGGCGAGAAGGAGAGGAGAGGGACAGGAAAGGGAGGGGGAGACGGGGGCGAACCGTGGCGGGGGGCCTCCCATGCCTGAGAGAGAGACGGCTGGGGAGAGAGAGAAAGGGAAGGAGGAGCAAGGGCGGAAAGGTGGAGGGAGGAGGAAGGAGAGAGGGGGGGGGGAAGGACGAAGATACGGAGAGCGAAGAGAGAAGCGGGGAGGCGAGGAGGAGCGAGGAGGAGCGGGAGACAGCACCGTCCTCGCCACGTTCGACGCGGCGCTGAAGAGCCCGCGCCTGGCCGTCTCCGACGCCTCCTGGATCTTCGGCTGCGCCTTCTCGCCCAGCTCCGCGGCCCGGACCTTCTGAAGGGGCCCCAGGACACACAAATAAATACACACAAATAAATATATTGACCATATTTTCATATATTTTCTGGGTTTTTGTCTTCCCCCCCACTTCCCATATTTTCCTATATTTTCTGGGGAGTCGACGATTAATTGTGTCTGTGTGTTTCTTTCCCTCCTGACCTTCGCTGCGGCCAGCTTCTCCTCCGTCTGCGCCAGGGCCGGCTGCAGGTTCTGGTTTAGCTCCGACAGCTTCGCGCCGGCCCTCGTCCTGCCGGTCTCGATGGCCTGCGAGGCCCGGTCGGCGAGCCTCTCCGTCTCCTTCAGGAACTCGGAGCTGGCGATGCTGTCGCCCACCGTGGCCGCGGTCTCCTTCACCTTGCCGAAGCCCCAGGACCAGAGGCTCTTGGCGGCCCCGAGCCCGCCCTGCACCTCCCGGGTGCGGAGGGGGGGAGCGCGTGCGCAGCGGCCCTCCTCCTCCTCCTCCTCCTCCTCCTCCTCCTCCTCCTCCTCCTCCTCCTCCTTCCTCCTCCTCCTCCTCCTCCTCCTCCTCCTCCTCCTCCTCCTCCTCCTCCTCCTCCCCCCCCCCCCTCCTCCTCCTCCTCCTCCCCTCCTCCTCCTCCTCCTCCTCCACCTTTCTCCTGCTTCTCCTGGCATTGACTACCTACCAGACCACCCCAACCCAACCCGACGACCCGAATTTCGGGTTGGGGGGGCTACGGGCTTCCTACGTGTTTTTGCCAACGTTCCCCGATCCCCCCCCCCCCCCTGGAAGAAACGGAGGGCAAATCGGGGCCTTCGGGTTGGGTTGGGGTGGTTTGGTGGGCGGTGAGGCATGGCCCACGCGCCCCACTTTCGCGCAGAGGAGTCCCCCGCGGCGCGCGCGGGTGGCCCCAGGGACTTCCAGCGACGCGCGCGGGGTCGTCCGCGGCACTGGGCCGGAGAGGCGGCCAGTGGGGCCTTCGGTGGAGCTCCCCGCGGGGCCACGAGGCGCGCGAGCGGTGTGGTGGAATGGGCGGGGAACCGCACGCGCGGTCGAGGCAAAGGGAGCTCCGCACGCCGTCCTGTGGGCCAGGGGATGGCCCTGGCCACGCACGGCGGTGGCGTGCAGATGCCCTCTGCGAATCTGGCACGCGCAGAGGGGTTCCATCGACGAGGCCGTGGGAGGGCCACCAGAAAACGGCCCAAGCGGCCAAGACGAGCACGGAGCTCGGGAACAAAGTCCGTCCTGCGCGGGAGGGAGGGCCAGGGGACGGCAAGAGAGAGGGATGCGAAGGGTCTTCCTCTCGCTTCCTCCTCCTCCTCCTCCTCCTCCTCCTCCTCCTCCTCCTCCTCCTCCTCCTCCTCCTGCTCCCTGCTTCTTCCTCCTCCTCCTCCTCCTCCTCCTCCTCCACTCTCTTCCCCTTATCTTCCCCCATCTCCTCCTCCCCCTTCTCCTCCTCGTCATCATCATCAGCATCATCAGCAGCATCATCATCATCACATCATCATCATCATCAACATCATCATCATAATCATCATCAGCAGCATCATCATCATAATCATTCCGTTTCCTTTGAAAACACTTGTCGCACCCCGC